AAAATATAGGTTAGGTACTTTGAACACGTTAGCGAAACAAAAGAAAGTGTAAAATCCACCTGTCGACAAAATCCGCAATCACTTAGTTGCCAACCCAATATTTTCGTGAAACCTACAGTTTCTTATGCGGCGAAAAATGAAGGGACGACTGACTATCTAAATGGTAATCTATAAGACACTCTTTTAAAATAGTAAGCTTGACGCTCTGAATGATAAACTTCACTCACAAATGTAGTAAAGTTGCAGCTGAAAAATGTCAGGCTGACTATCAGAGTTATGTCGTATAGATTACCCTTCATTTTTCTCTGTATAGTTGTTGACTTCGTATATGCTTTTAGGATCCAAGTCATATTTACCAATAAACAAAGAACGATAAAAAGAACCAAACTAACGAAACCAACAAACGAAAAGCGGAAAAGCTTCATGTACTCATTTATTCAGAAGGTAGTTTTTCGTAGATATAAAATTCTGATATTTTTTTTTGGTTATCGCTGCTTATAGTCTCAGTTCAAAAAAACTCAAATTTTATTCTTAAAACACTTATAAAAAAGTCGGTTGTCGTTAAAGGGGTAAACGGTATCCGCGGCCGCGGACGTGGAATCTGCGGTCAGTGGCTGAAGTGAAAATTCTACGCGGATCTAACGCTCGTCTAGTTTTCCCAGCCGATCGAAGTGCACAACCACGGAAATTCTTCATACCGATAACACTCGCCGATCTTTTCGCGTTAGCGCGTAAACTCGCGAGCGAGGGAAGAACCGAAGGCAATTGCAGGCTTCGTCAAGTAGCTCCGCATTGTATCGCAGCTATTAATCTCGCATCAGATCTCTCATGCGATGCGACCCACCGTTCCCATCCGTGTCTTCGCGTGATTACTTTTCTCCTACTTCGAGAGAGAGAGAGAGAGAGAGAGAGAGAGAGAGAAAAAACAGTCGTGTAAACGCCGCGGCACATCTTCCTCATTTTGCTCAGCGAGCAAAAATGGCAAAGTGGGTAAAAGCGTCGGCTAACAAATGCACGAGCCTTTTCTGAAAGTTCCACAACGCCGCGTACCTAACTCAAGCTGTAATGTGTATCCACACCGGCGCGACTTCCTCGTTTCTTCGATTCGCGATCGGCGGATCGTCGTGGCGAATCGGTCGATTAATCTCGTCTCGCGGGACGGAACGAGCGGATAGCACAATTAAACGACAAACCCGCGAAACACTTTCTACATCGGGCGCGATGAAAGGTTGAATGGAGAAATCACGGGCGCGCGGGCGCACAACAGCGGAAAACAAGAATGAGAGAATTCTCGTGGGAACCGAAAAAGAAAGAAAAAACTAAAAGACAGCGTGTGTCGTCGTTGCGCGTCGCTCTTCGCGCGGCGCGGCGCGGCGCGGAGTTTCACCGGTTTGCTTGCGCGGTCGTTCAAGGAAAAGGTGAAATGTACCGTATATATATATATGCAAAATAAAGTGAAGAAAAGTGGAGCGATTAGTGCGGAGGAGGATGCGCGTCACGTGCGCCGCGCTAACAATGTAATCTCTCGCTCGCGCGCGGCCGCGCGGCGTTTCTCCTTCCGTATCGCCTCGCGTCTTGCGCGAAGGGAAGAGGGAGGGGGGGGGGGACTGTGAGAGGATTTTCATTATTGCTTCGGACGGTATTGCGCGCGGAAAGCGGTGATTAGTTGTGCAAACGGACGAGCGCGCATAGCGGTCCGTCTCACGACAGTAACACAACTAGACGCGACGTAAGAGTAGAAGAAACGAGGAACGCGAAGTTTCAATCGGCGGGGGCGTGCGAACCGACGCGTGGTCCCGCAATCGGGCCGTACGAATGGGGCATTAAGGCCGATTCCCGCGCGCTTTTGCAAGTTAATACGTCGAATAACGCGCGCGCGCGAGTTGTTATCGAAGGAATGTAACGCGGAAGCGCCCGCTGCTGTTCTTCTTTTCGGCGAACGGCCGCAACGCAACGGAATCCGCCGCGGAGTAATTGGTCCCACATAAATTAACATTACGGATAATTAACGGGGGGAGAATGCATAGATTCGTGCAAAGTGCGTTTGCTAATAAGCGCGATTACCATAGGCAGCTTCTTTCGGGATCGTAGATGCATCTGATCGGCCCGACGGGCGTGTCTCTTTACCCCCGTTAATTACCGCGCAATTGCCGCCGCTCCTCCGAACGCTTATTTTTTAAGTAGACCGCGTCATTTGCCGCAAATCAATGTGTACGAATAGCGCGCGCCATTGTATGCGATGTGTGTGCAATTATATCCCCGTGAGCCTCGCCGGCGAGTATCTCACCGGCCGTGTGAGAGACGAGCGATCGCGTAGGAGATTTTTACGGTATCCCGTAGCCTCTTGTTGCATTACCGGGGCGGTTTTTTTCCCCCTCTTCTTCCGCATATGTTATTAGTTTTCTTCGCTGCTCTTTCGCGATTTTCAGACTCGAACCGCAAGAGCGCGCAATGCGCACGTCTCGTCGGCGGCACCTTATAATTTCGCCGGGATTTAATAAGCGTATACGGGATAAAATGAAACGGCGAGAAAGAGACTAGATGATGAATAGCGGAGAGACGGAGAGAAAGGGAGAAGAAGATGCTCTCTTTCGTGTACCAATTACTAAATAGACTGCTGCACGTGTTGGATACCATTCTCTCCCATATTCGTCGATAGTCATAAGAACGACTGGCCTGGCTGCGCGTAAATATATCTCAGTCGAAATGTCGGTTGTTGCATCAATCCTGCGCATTCCGTCGAAAGGACCAATGGAGAATCTCGAGATACGATACTATGCAGGTTACTGCCTTACCTTGATGCTGCAAACACTCGCTCGCTATCGCGCTTTCCTTCGTCTCTCCGTGTTGCAGCTCGAAGGACTTGTTCTTCACGATTATTTAATATTCAATGCATTATTTAATATTGTCGATTGAAGTCGGGCGACGCAGTCCTTTTTCGCTAATTGTTTTTGTATTGCCGCGCGACGCTATCGTACCGTTCCGCCTAATGAGTGTTGCATCGGTAAAATGTGCTTCAACGGCTTTTCAAATATTTAATTGGATTCTCGATGGTATATCGCGTCAATCAACACGTGTTCCCTCCGATCGAATCGCGTCGGCGTTAGTATCAGTGTGCCACGGGCTAGCATTTGTGGTTGCCATAACGGAGCAGTCAGGAGCAGGATACTGAATAGAGAATTCAGGACGAGAGCAACGATACATCAAATATTTTCAGATGTATAGACGCATCTTTTTTTACATATGTACTCTGCAAATCCGAGTGTGTTATTTTGACGCGTATAAGCTGAAGCTTCCTTTACGCGCACCTTGTCGTCTTAAATCACGTCGTTTAAACGCGTTAAGTGATATCGAAATGCATCAAATGACGTGTGATTTCAGACGACAAAACACACACACATAGAGACTTCCAACGGCTATGTAAAAAGGATAATAAAGAGACCATGAAGAAGCGAGATTTGTTGTTGTTTAGCTATCTTCATTAATTGTGCCTGCCCGATGAATTTCAATACCATTATTTAATATTTGTTTGTTGTGAAAATATTCCATCTGCAGTTAAAACAAGTTACATAATAAATACACCGCACAATAAACATTAAATGCTGGTAGAATATTAAGACAATCAAACGTCAAATAATGCTGAAGTAAGTGATTGCTAAGAATATTAAAGCAATCATTTGTAGCATCAAGATAAGATAACAGCCTGTATAACATCTCGGGATTCTTCATCGATCAAGCTCGACGGAATTTGCAGAGTTGATATTACGAGCGCACAGAAAAGCAACAGATGCAAACTTCGCTTTTCGATTCTCGATCCTCGAACAGAATGCGCGATGTTCCACACGACTAAAAAATACCTCTCTCGCAAACTTTAAGGACGAGCGATCGAATTCCCGCCGCCGAACGTTATTTCACGCGTGGCAACGCAAAACGCAATCCGCCGTCCGGTAATGAGACACGTTACTCCCGCGCGCGCACGATATTTGGAGCACGTAAATGAACGAAAATAAACGCGGTTGCCCGCTGCTTCGAGAAAAGAAATCGGTAATCAGTGACACGCGAGATATCCCGGCAACGGAGAAACATCGCACGAAGCGATGCGGCGTGCGGTGTCGTTTGCCGCTCGTGCGGGACAAACCGTGTCGAGCTGTTTTTCCTCTCCTCACTTTCCCCCCTCGCAGTGCCGCGGTGAAGGAGAAGGAAGGCCCGAGAAGGAGGCTCTCGAGCCTTGCGATTTCCGCGAGGCGATCTCGCGGCGCGCGCGCGCGCGCTCGCTCGCGTCTCTCAACACCTGGACGTTTTACCCGGACAATCCGGGTGATAATTCTGCACTTTTCCATCTCGCTTAGCAGGCTGGATTTCTCAGCGCAACGCGCGTTTCCGCGCGACGCGCGCTCTTCACGCATCGCAGAATCAGATCAGATTCCGCATCGAAGGCCGAGCGAGCGGCGGGTTTTCTCTATCGACCGGCTTCTATTGGATTTACCTCGCTTTATTGCATTAAATATCGTAGCTCGCGGCTGCTTACACGCTCATGGAGAACACACGCGTGTGCGTGTGTTCGTGCGATCCGTGCCGTTAAATCGCGCCTCCACTTCCGCCGTTCTTACGGTATTCCTTCGATTTCTGCGCTATTACGTCTTAATTGCGCGGCCAGACGGGGCAATTAGGTAATAATTGGGCATATCTGGGCTGCTATCAGATTACGGGTAACGCGGTCGAATTAAGGCCCTACTTTAGCTGGATGGGCTGGAAATGACGCTTTCCTTGCACTCTGACGCGAAAGCTCTCCCCGCGTGAAGTCGCGTGAGCGAAAGAGATTCTTCGCCTTATTCTCGCGCGGCGAAGCATTCGCAAGCTGCATCCGGCCTCTCTGCCATCACTCGCGCGTCATTTACACCAGGGCTTACAACACTACGAGTCCTTAATCTACGAGGGTATTTTCGAGAGGAACTCGTGAGGAAAATACAGGAGGGAGACGCCGAGAGAGTTGTACTTACTGAAGTAGTTAAGAGTCTCCCGGATTTGATCCGGCGATAGTTTCAAGTCCACGTCCTCCACCTTCAGAGCTGGCGCCGGGATGAACCAATCTGCGTTCTCGTACCCTGCGAACATCGCGATCTCTCACAATCACAGCTTTGCTCCTCTCTGAAGGATTTCCTCGACCGATGCACACCGGTGCAAAACTTGCGCACACACATAGAAAGAGAGAGAGAGAGAGAGACAAAGCATATGCAGCTTCACTCGACATATCGCACCGTTGCGCATCAGTTGAGGAATTTCTTCAAGAAAGAACGGGCAACACGCCTGCCGCAAAGAAGTGACCATCGCCGCTCGCGTTCGCTTCGTCGTTTCCGCGAAAACGCTGATGTTGCCGCGCGAGTTTTAGATTAGCCTATCCGCGGAAAATGAAGAGATCGCGAAGAAATGTGCCAAGCGCCGCGCCGCCGCTTGGTCCGCATGGTACGGCGTGGCGGCGCTAAGCCACGTCCGTCCGGGGCAATGTATCATCCTGCGCTAATTAATGCGGTAATCGCGTCCGTTCCGAAGACAGCTCGCAAAAATGCACCGCGCGATATTGTAACTCGCTGGCGCGAAGCGCCACGGGCTAAATGTACTGTGGCTAATCGCTGGGATACGCGTGCCTCCGTAGGCGCGGTCGCGAGGGCCGCGCCTTTTAGAGCTTCGGTTTATCGACGGGACACGCGATACGGGGCCATTGCGCTCGAATTACCGCGGCTGGCCATTTGTCGCGGCGAACTATCGAGTGTTCGGCCGGCTGTGCCGATCGCGTCGCCCGACGTTCTCCTCGAGCTCTTTCGCCGCTTTTCGCGCGCCTCTCCTCCGCGTGTTTAACCCTTTAACGCCTACTGCAGTAGGAAAAGAAATTTAATATCTCTGTATCAAACAAAACTGGTTTTGGTTGAGGCATTTTTTAATAGCAACCAAATATCTTGTTTTATATAACGAAATATTTAGTTGTCTCAATTAAATATACTTTTCTGCTTTGTTCTCCGGACCAAATGATTTTGTTTTCTTAGACCTCGTATATAAAAGCGTTTTAGTTATTTTATCCATAAAAATTACATAATAACGAAGAATTACTTTACATAAACTAAAATAATGCCCGATGGATACTGTTTTGTCTTTCTGTGCACTAAAATTTAGATTTTATATATTAAGAAAAAATTATAGTATTTTTAACAAAATTCATATAGTTGAAGCTTTTTGGTTGCTATAACCAAAGTATTACGTTATACAAACCGTAATCAAACAAGATATTTGTTTGCAGCAACTAAACAGTTTTGTTGGTAACATATTTTAATCAAATTATTTTGTTGTTACCACAAAATTTTGGTTCACGCAACAATACATTTTTCCTAGTGTGGTAACTATAGTTACCAGAACCGCATTTAAGAATCCATAACTTAGTGAAAAAAGGAGGATATTTTCGGTTTCTTTGCACCACTGTAAAGGTGAATTCTTCTTCTAAGAAATCGTATACAGATTGTGTGCAGATTCGGTTTAGTTTGCTTTTAGCTCAGTTTTAATGATAACATGTTTTGTCAAATTCCAAGTAGGCTACTGACATCTAGAAGTGCACTATAAATGAATAGATTGGTATCTGTTATAATTGTATACATTTGGAAGCTTTCTCAGATGCAAAATGTGAAATTAAAAGAACACAGAAATTCAAAATGGCGAATCCAATATGGTGGACATGAAAATCAAGAAATCAACCTATTTTCGTGAAACCTACAGTTTCTTATGCGGCGAAAAATGAAGGGACGACTGACTATCTAAATGGTGATCTATAAGATATTATTAAAACTAAAAAAAAATATTTAACCGATCAGGCGTATTTCTCGCCTCTGGGAGTAGTTTCTGCTTGGAAAGGTAGTTTTTCGTAGATATAAAATTCTGATATTTTTTTTGGTTATCACTGTTTATAGTCTCAGTTTAAAAAAACTCAAATTTTATCCTTAAAACACTTATAAAAAAGTCGGGCGTTAAAGGGTTAAATTTCACCGTCCCATGCGTCTACCTTCGACATTACACCCAAAAAAATTTTATTCTATTTGTAAAGTGATTTTTTTCATAGCCTCATATTTTAAGCGAAGCCTTTTACAAAAAAAGAATTCCTCCTTCAATAAAACGATTCAAGTGAAGCATTCATCTAAAATTTATCAGATATTATTCTAATTATTTTTCTCTTACTTCAAGAGGATTTCCTCTTATAACAATTAATTTTTCTCTCGTATGAGGAGGAATATGTTGATTTGAACGTCGGCTTCTTTTGTTCAGTCATACTCTACCTCCAGACATGAACGAAAAAATAATCATATGTTCATGGATCAGAATATTTGGAACGCTTTTTAAAAAAGGTATGTGTATTGCTATGACATATAACGAAGATAATTTACTCATATTTGGTCAAATATAGTTTATAATCTATCGCAAGAAGTTGAATAATATATTCTTTCTTTTAACTATGTTTCATATTGATATAATTAATATAATTTTGGTTATGATGAACGTCTTTGTTGGCTATGAAATCCATAACAAACTGATTGGAAATTTATTTGTTACGATGATCTTATTTCATTCGTGCCTACTTATTGTAGAACTGCAGCCAGAAGTACATCTCGTATATATTATTTTTCGCTATACATTATGATAATTTTTTCAAATTAACTAGTATAATCAGTAAACATAAAGTACAGTACAAAGAATAAATAATAATCCTCTTAAAAAGAAGATTAAATAATCTGTATATAAGAGGACATTTATATGAAAATCAATAAGATTTGCATTACACATATAACTCTTTTAATATAATTCCTCTAACTTTAAGAATAATTTATTTATAATATTTTCTTCTTAATTTTAGAGGAATCCTCTTGAGAGACCATATATAAGAGTAAAATCCTTCACAATTAGATGATTCCACTTGTCCTGAAAATTACTTTTTTTTGGGTGTATTTCACTAGATACTCTCTGGCTCTCGCTCGTTCGATCGGAACTCTCCTCTCGAATGCGGAGCGTCGTCGATGGTGGACCGTGAATCTTGCGAATGATATTGAGAGTCGGTACCAGCGATGACGATAACGAAAGCCCCGGATTTTTGCTGCACAGGTCGTCGGGGGTTAAAGAACGTCGGGGGAAGGGAAGTAATGTCGTAAGTACGGTCGCCCGATAGGCTTCCTCGTTTAATTAGGACGCGCGAAACTCGACCGCACGCTCGCAAGTCGCACCCTACCTTGCATCTTAGGGCTTTCCCGACTCCCATCTGCACCTTCGGTGTCACGTTTGATTATTCGCATTAGATGCTTGCGAATTATTGATCAAGTGACTAGATATTTTCGTCGCGATTATTACACTCGCTCACGGGCTTCCCCGAGTAACGCTATATTTTTATTCTCGATTTCATCGACGATGGAGATACGATCCACGGTGAGACGTAATTCACCGAAACAATCTTATTCATTCATCAAACGCGTCAGACACTGGTCGATCGGCGCGTTTATCAGCGGCCAGGTTTCACAGATATATCGCTTAGGGAACACAATACATTACTTAGGGAAGTAGAGCTGCGAAAAAACATCGTCGGATTCAACTAAAAACCTCGAGAACCTCGGCGTCTTTTTCACGTGTCGCCTTGCGCAAGCGGCCAAGCAAACGGGGAAAAAAGAGAACCGCGCACTTTACCTTGGAACTGCGTTAAGGTATCGGCTCGTAGTCGGTATCTCGGTATTTGCTCTTCCAGCAGGCTGATTATCTCGACTTCTGGCAGGTCCCCTCCGCTGCACACCTCTGAAACAATCACGTGCAGCATCCGTGGCGTTACTAAGTGCGTACGGAGGCATCATTATGCTCGCGCTATAAAGCGCCTCGTTCCGCTTTGAGTCGCGCGGACGCTCGAGCGTGCACATTATGAGAGGAGCCGTCTCGACCCGTGTCGTGCGTACTCGCGTCACGTGCGATGAAATGTGCGTGTGCCATGCACACGACTCACGACTCTCGTCGTCGCGCCGCACAATGGGGCAAAACTGACATTTTTTGTTCAAAATGGTCTACCTCTAAAACCCCTTCATCCAATAGCCAGTCACACCAAAACTACTAAAACATACAACATAATAACCCCATAACCCAAAGACTTATAACGGAATAACTACAAATCAATTACTACAAGTGACAATATCATAATACCAGTAACACTATAAACAATATCCCCATAACTCAACAATCTCACACTTCAATAACCTCAGAATTCAAACCATAAGAGGTTATTGAAATGTGAGATTGTTGAGTTATGGGGATATTGTTTATAGTGTTTATTGGGTTATGATATTGTCACTTGTAGTAACTGATTTGTAGTTATTCCGTTATAAGTCTTCGGATTATGGGGTTATTAGATTATAGAGTTATAGGTTATTGTTACGTTGTATATTTTAGTAGTTTTGGTGTGACTGAGCTATTGGGTGAAGGGGTTTTAGAGTTAAAGTTACCGATTTATGTGTTGGGTTTTTCGTTATTGGGTTGTGCATTTTTCTAATGGGATTATAGGTTTTTAGGTTTTCAGGGTTAAATTTTTTCAAAAATCGGCTCAGACAGTCTTTTTCGTTATCTTTCAACGAGTAATTTACAAAGAAATTTGTTTCATTCGTTAAGTTTTGAGGTCTCTAGACCATTTTGAACAAAAAATGTCAATTTTGTCCCACTGTGCGCCGGTATGATCCGGACACTCACGACTATGGAAGGAATCGCGACGCTGCATTGTCCTGTGCCGGCGAGTCAGCCGAGTGCTACGACGTCAGTGACACTATGATTTAATAATAGCATTGACGCTATTACAACGTGTCATAAGGAAGAACGGTAGAACGCGCCAACGGCTGGTGAAGAGAAGGATAAGACGCGATCATCATGTCGTTTCGGTGCGAAATAGCGCGACAGCTGAGGGAAGCGCGGCGCGGTGTTTTGCTGGCTGTCGACTGTCAACGCTTCTTTTTCATCGGATGGAATCGTTCGACCGCACATATGTCACTGCATTTTCATGTTTCCAGCATCCAATTCCCAGCCTGACTCCCCCGGATGAGCAGACTGATCCCTTGAGGGGAGGAACGCTCACGAAATAATTACAGCCTCCAATGGATTCATTCATGTAATGCCGTTTCATCGAGTCGGCTAAGTACTGGCTCTTAGCATACGACATTCCACGCGATACATAACTCTCTCGTGTCTCAAATATGCGACGACTGTTTCGTCGCGAAGCTGCGCGTACGTCATCGCCAAGTTATTCCAACGTATCCGCGCGACTGCACCGCGCGCTAAAATCCTAACCGCGACACGAGATGAGAGCGCATGACCTGTGCGACAAAAAGTTGCTTGCGGTGCGACAGGAGGAGGAGGAGAAAAAGGGGGGATCTGTGGCTCACCGCAACGAGGACGAGCGCGCAGCACGCCAACGCGTTCCGCACGAGACGTCGCGTAGATGTAGATGCACTATGCAGAAGCCGACGCGACGGCTACTCCCATCGCGATGCACATGGCGTACTTGCCTACGGCGAAGTTTAACAACAGAAATTGCCTCCGGAGCGGATGTTCCTCTTCTGTCTCTTTTTCAGCGAAAATCGACGACGTCTCGCCGTCGTCGTCATCGTCGTCGGCGGAACTTTGCGACTCTCGACGACCGAGCGCGCGAGATCTCATCTAGAGGCTGTTTAAAATTAATCGACGAGGAAAGACTCACTCCCCCCCCCCCATCCACCTTCCCGCCTGTCCACGTTCTCGCGGTTTACTCGACCGTTACTACGCGTGCCTATAATTGTAACTTGTCTTGAACTTGGTTCTCTAAGGAGAGGTGATCTTCTCGACGGGGGGGGGAGGGGGGATTTATGTCGGGACGGCCATTGCGCGAAATTCGCTAACGCGAGGGACGCGACGGAAGAGCAATTAACGCAAGCAGTATCAGCAAGTCGAAGGAGCAGGTCGAAAGGTACGAGCGATTAAGGCGACGATTTAGACGATAAAGTGTGCACCCACTGACCTGACATTACGCGCAACTCTGAAGGGACCGTCGTCGTCGGGGAAGCCGCACAACGACAGGGCGCATCGCCGCGGCCGCGGAAAATCACGTTAACGAGCAACTATTACCGGGGCTTTTAATTGGGGAAAACGCAGCACAGCTGTACACAACGCCGGCGCGGTGCTGTAACTGCTGATGCTGCCGCAGCGGGAAGGTACGTGAGCCTCGCTTCGCGTGAACTTTGTACTTTTGACGCGCGCTTCTCCTCTCTCTCTCTCTCTCTCTCTCTCTCTCGTGAGACAGAGATGACCCGTGCGGCGTGTCGCGCAGATTATCGCGCGTTTTAGCACATAATCGCGATGGCGGGCAGATTAGCGCTGCGCCGCGGAGATTGTTCCGGCGGATCGCGAGCGTTGTTCGCGCGGGAGCGCGTGAAGTTTGCGCAAAAGCTGCTTCCTAGATTTCGTTGATAAGGGAGAAAGAGGAGAAGAGCATACGCGATTGGCTTCTCGACATTCTCGCTCGAATTGAATCGTGGAAACCGGACCGTCGGAGGAAATTTTCTCGGCGACACGAACGTATCGGGAGAACTCGTGGGAGCATCATTGCGTGCTTCGAGGAAAAATGGATGGAGATGAGGATGACATATTTGTTTTTTTTTTCCGCGAGGTAAAGGCACTCGGTATTGTCAATTTAATCATCCGCCGATTATTTGCACGGAAAAAAGTGGACGAGTGGACGAGGCGTCAAAAGTGTATTACGTGCGCCTTCGTGCCGCGTAGTTTTCTCTGTTTGAAAAATCCCGCGGTAATATCTCACGCGAAACGTCAAACGCGCGATTAAAGTGCCTTCGAGCCCGCGGTTTGAAAGCAGCTGGCAGTTGCATAACCGAGACCGGCCGCGGTAAATTTGCGCCCGCAGTGATTGTCCGCGCAGAAGCGCGGCCCCTCCGCGAGACGTAATAAATTTTACATAATAAATTTCATCCCGCGCGAACAACCCGGTGAAAAATGATTCGTCGATCGACGTCGATTTGACGATTTCGATATCGATTCGACACGCTCTGACCGGGTTTCCATCGGAAAAGCGTAAAACGCGATGTAATGCAAAAGCAAATTTTCTCGGTCACGGGATTGCTTGTTGAATCAACCGCAATATGCAAATATTTATATAATACTGCGATAAGCTGGCGTTCGCGGCGCTGTGCGGCACAAGTTTTGCCACGCGATAAAAATAGCTCGACTGCAGAACACGTGCTGCCACGTAGTGGCGATCGCACGTAGCAGGTAGGTAAGTCGCCGACGAGCTAGCTGCGCGGCAGATTACACCCGTCAACTGGCTATCTCGATACCAAGCATCGACACACTCGGTATCGTTTTACCCACTGCAGATCGCACTGGGTAACGTCGACGAATCAATAGAAGCGAATCGCCGCACTCTGCAACCTTGTTAAACATACAGCACGTTTCGGCAACGTTTGCCGCTTGTTCGCGCAAATGCAAGTGCAAATGCAAATGGGACGTACTTTACACCGAACAAAGTAACACGTAGTTATAAATTACTAATCACATGCGCGTTGCATTATATACGCAGTCTCGCATATTCGCACGTTCGTCTACTCTCGTCGACATTAATAATTTTCGCAAGCCGCAATTTCGTGCTGTGAATTAGGGCTATCTATATTTCAGCGATAACTCAGCCCAGTCGCGATTAATAATTAATCGTGTGCGATTGGTCGCCGCGAGGACGGAGGATAATATATTACAGGTGCTCAACAGTGAACCGCAAACATTCTCGTTGAGGCACGAGAGAGAAGAAACCGTTAAAAGACAGAAATGTACAAACAAAGTCGGTTATGCGTCGCGTTATCAGCGTTTTGTGTTCGCCGACAGGTCTCGTCGATAAAGCAACCTCGATTCTCGACGGTATTTTATACATGCTCGCACGCTTAATGGCATGAAAATACACGGGGAACGATGGACGGGGAAGATCGAAGGAGACTCGCATGCAAAATTGCGGAATAAAATGATCACGACACAAATGTCCTACCATCTCGCCACTTGCTGAGGATAGTCTCGCGCCTCTCGAGAATTCCTTTGAGCCTCGCCGGGCCCTTGGGCCTTCTCGCCTCCCTTGCACCTAAGTACATAATCTCACGTCCAGCGTTGGCCGAACCTCCTTCCTTCTTCGCCTTTCCTCACTTTCCTCATTAAGGGGTACGCTTCCACGCTCTGTCAGCAGCAACTCCGTCGGATTCCCCGCCGTCCGCGAGAGATTCAGCGATTCCGCCGCGGCCGCTTATCCCCGTGGCGCGAATTACGTAAAACCGAACTCGCTCACACGTGTAGAAACACGATCGGGTTGCGCGGCTTTTGCGAGCCAATTTGAAAAGCGACGTGCCAAAGAGACTTGCGTAATTAGCCGACGAGACAATGACCCGATACGTTTACGGCATCGGCCGCGGTTGCTTAACAAATCCGAGATTATTCTCACGAGGCAATTATAGACACCGTCCTCCAAAACACAGAAATTTTCTTTTTATAGAAATCGACACGTAACACTCCGCGCCGCGCGCTCTCTCACGGCGCCGAGCGGCTCGCGAGATCACGAGGCCGGCTTTTTTGCTCTCGATGCCGACAGAGAATACGAGACACGAGTTATAGCAAAGGCCTTGAAACTACGTCGTGAGTTTCTGTAACTAACGCGACGAGAGCGGAAGAATGAGCAGATTTCCCGTTTCGAGCGTTTCGAACACGTTATCAATGCAGCAATAAACGGCGACACATGACTCAACAATATGCGCGAACTAGCAATGAATCATTGGCAACTGCTTCAATCTGCGAACTGCCTCGACCTGTCCCCGACAGCTGCGGACAATCAGATTGTCTATCGTACACACGTCGTCGTCGTGCGCTTTATCGTCGCGCGAATTTCAAACAAAATCGATGGCGTAATCGACGGAATACGGTATGCAGCCGGGCGAGTCGCGCCGCTGTGAACCCACTAATTCACGTCGGACGAACGACGAGTCGCGGCGACTCGCACTTTTTATTTTCGGTGATTACGCGACGAGAGCGATATATCATCGACACGGCGACCGTCATTCGCGCAAGCACTCGGGAAAGCGTTCTTTTTGAGCCGCCGGCCGCCGGACAACTCTGTCGGACGGACGTCGCGCGATGGAAGAAAATAGCAGCGACCGGTATTGTCGTTGGAGCTCCGCCAACTTCGATTCCCGCGATCGAGCGATTTATCGGACGAACGGCCGCCTGGCCGGAAAGCCGGCGCGCGTGCCGGAAGATAAATTTGGACGTGAGTGGAGAAAAACGCGATTCCACCGAGCGCGCTCCTGCATAATTGACTCCTTCATTAATCTTTCATTCTTCTGCCCTCTCTTTCTCCCTCTATAGAGGCTTCGAGGCGTTATTTCACACTTCCTCCCCTCCTTCGTCGTAACGACATCCTTTAATAGCATCGTCTTACGCGGTCACATTTTAGAAATTAACCCCTATGGGACGATCTTCTCTCATCGTTTAGATATCGAGTCGAAAGTAAGGGCTTTCCAGAACGGGGGGCGATTCGGCTCGTGCGATTCCTAAAATGTAGAAACGACATTTCTGCTCTTTTGTTTGTTTCTGCAGCAACGCGTGGATTTCGCGATACATCGATGATCACCGTTTCACTCCTCGGTGGCGACTCTCGCGACAAGGTTGCTGGCAAATGGCACGAAGACGTCAACTAACTCCCAAAAAAGAAACATATGTATGGCTGTATATGACAGCCTACATTATGTAAGACAGACGAGAATAAACTGATGTATCTATGTACGAGTGTGTTCAATTGTGCTTTGCTAGCTTTGCTAGCGGTTTCGCTAACTTTATCTCGCCGCGAACACGGCTCTATCGACATAGCGCGCGCGCGAGATTTCGCGATTAATTTGGGGAAGAGCCAGTTAGAAGAATGAAAAAAAGATGTACACACCGACTCAATGTACACAAAGCCGGGGGGCGGGGGTGGAGGAGGAGGAGGAGAATCATTAATAACGCTCTAATTTTTCCGAAAGCGCGACGACGTCGTCGTGCTTAACGTAGGTTAAAGACGTTATGAAACTGGCCCTTTATAGGTCGCCTATTTCGAGGTCTGAGTAACGCAGTGCTCTCGATATTTCGGACGCGCCTCGTGGTGTGACGATATTTTGAAGAAAGTTGAAAATGAGAGAATCTTATCGAACGCGTGCGCGTGTGTCGATATATGTCTCGCGTACGCGCGGCCGTTGCAATTTGGAGCGTATCAAAGATCGAGGACATCCTCGAGCAAGATGTTTGCTGCGACGACGAAAATAATTGCCGTCATTTTTAGCGATGATTTAGCGATGGTTAAGACGATGAAGACGAGGAAGGAGGAGGAGGAGGAGAAGGAGAAGAAGACGAAGAAGAAGAAGAAGATAACGATAACGATGATGATGATGATAATGATGATGATGATGATGATGATGATGATGATGATGATGATGATGATGAGGACGACGACGACGGCGACTACAACGATAACGATAATGATGATGACGATCATGATGATGAGAATGGAGCGTGGCGTATTATCCGCCGGGCAGGAGTAATCATCATTTGGCGCAGGCCAATGGGAAACACCATGAGGGCTCGGAACAGGTAAGCCGTGGAGCACTTTATAAAACTCCTCGTGCTAGCAGCGTCAAAGACAGTTTCTCCTCGTACGCTTACAACGTCAGATGTAAATCCGCACCGCGCGCATCCTGCTCTCGCCGATCCTTGCACTCGCGCGTCGTTCTTCGAAAGAGAACGCTTTGCTCAGCCGAGCACGAGAGATCGTGTCGTCGTCTGGGCAAACGCTGTCGTCTCTTACGTCGTCCCGTCCCGAGCGTTACGCGATCGTGACCGACAAAGGATACTCCGAAGAAGCTCTACGATCAGTGGTACAATCAGAGAGAGAGAGAGAGAGAGAGAGAGAGAGAAAGAGAGAGAGAGAGAAAGAGCGCATCGCTGCTCGTCGCGTTTTTCGTCCGTGGAACTGATACACACACACGGACAATTCGCGCATCGAGAGGCGTCCAATCAAAGTATCGACCACTCGGCAAGTGGATCGTCTCGTGGCATTGCGAGCATGCACAAACTGGTACGTATATGAGTACACGCGTATGAGTGATAGTGTGCCTCTGGCTCTTACCCGTGATGGTCTCGGCGTCGCGGGTACTAGTCGCGGAGGCGGCTAGCTTGTTCCTGGGTGACCTTAGCGCCTGGAGAGTCGCCCTGGCCGTGGGTGAGACCTTTAGGGAGGTGGCGGATGATCGGCGGATGGGGCCTTCGGGCCGCTTTGGACCCACATCCTCCACGGTGGCCAGCTTGGACGCTGTGGCGACGAGCGATATCGCCTCGCTATCCTGAAACGTGATTGCGCACCTTGACGTGTCCGCGTAATGTGTGCGTAAGGCCGCAGGTTCGCGCGGCTCGCGGAGTTCGTGATCTCCCGGGGGGCCTCCCGGGACAAAGCGCATTCCCAAAGTGCGCGAGGATAAACGCGGCGAGCAGCAGTGCCCCTTTGAAGGGGAGGCGCGTTCCTGGGCTGATTCCTAAGCCCCTAAATACACACACACACACACACACACACGCGCGCGCGCGCGTGGGGACCGGCCGGCGTTTAAAGCCGTCGTCGCTTATTTAGATCGGTGCTGGTCCGGCGGATGCGTTCATTTTGCTCGTCTTCCGGTTCGTCCGCCGGAGTTTATTTCAGGACGCCGAGTGTCTCTCTCGCGTGCGCGCGCGCGCTCGTCTCGACTGTTTTCGCAAATGTAAATGCCGTCATGTGCGCCGCTCGAGCTCGCGTCACAACAAACGCTCGTCGATTTTATCGACTTGGCGGGAGCGCGCGTGCGAAAGGCCGCTCGTCGATCGTCGTCAAATCCGGGGAGACACATCATCTCCGAGCGCGCGACCTCGCGCGTCGATCGCAACTTGTGCATTTTTGTATCGACGAGGAAGCACGATTTTGCGCGCACGCGAGCGACTAACTATTCATCTTCCTCGAAAAGGAAAGAAAGAAAGAAAGGAAAGAAAAAAAAAAAGAAAATACGGAAACTGTAGTATCGCTATCACAGCGGTAGACCAGGTTGCAATTTCCGGTTTCGGAAATTTCCCTACTCATCATGTACTCGTCATGTATCTCGATAATGTATCAACGCGCGCGATAAGGCGATAAGGATCGCGCTGAGAGATACGCGTTTCGATTCTTCATCACAACAGCCAAAGTCAATAACGCAAATATCTGCAACGCTCAGGAGATATCGCTACAATTATATCCTGCAACGCTCGATGACCGTGGCGGACATCGGATTTCATTTCGCGCGGGATGTGCGGAGCACAGCCGCTCCTCAAGCGGCATCCGCGGCAAAGGAGAAAGAGTGACGACGCGGACGCTACGGCCGACTCGCAGGAGATATTTATGAACAAACCTCGGCGCCGTGGTGGAGGCATCGCGGCGGCGCGACCGACGGAAGCGGCCCGAGACGCGTTTTGCACATTCTTCCTGCGCCGTCAGTCAAGGCTCGTTATAATGTCCCGCTCCGTCAGTTTCACTTTCCGATCTTCTGAGTCGCGCGACGGCAAAATTCCGCGTGAGATGAGAACAGAGCCCGCGACAACGTCACAAGGCGAGAGAACAATGCGCGGCGATATCCGCTGATAATAATTTCGCGGGAAATCAGCGTGAGACGAATGGACGCTCGGCTGAGGCTATCGGCGTGATCGCGCGAAATGCAAAAGCGCGGAGAAAAGGGGGAACGAAAATTGCGCTGGATTATCCGATGATCGCTTTCGCCCGGCGGACAATGCAGTCGCCCGTCGGCTCGGCAAAAGAGATCTCTCTCTCTCTCTCTCTCTCTCTTGCGATTCTCCCGCAACGGCGGAGCTTTAAGGGGACTGATTACTGGTCAGATTACTGAAAAATCGTGCTTGTTTTTGATCATATTTTCTGACGAACTGAATAAATGTGCAACAATGAAAGTTTTAGATATATTTATATAACATATGAAAAGTAGAAAGATTTCGTTTATTAATACAAATACTCATATAAATATATACGTCCGCTTAAATTTGAAACGCGTTCTTCTCGAAATTTTATTGTTCAACTTTTTGCAATGATTTCTCCGAAACTGAGCTTCGTATCGATTTGAAATTTTAAAGCAATAATATTTGTTCATCTGGCTCTCACCATGAACCATGGACAATTACATCAAAATATTTCACTTCGAGATATTAATTTTTTTATTGTGAAAGAACTGAAAAATTTGGATTTTTCCCTAATAACAGCTGCCATTTTGTTAATTTTGTTCAATTTTTTTTTGGTAGTGTAGTTCACCGGATAAAGATAAGTCTCCTCAAGATTTCTAGTTAAAATTCGCTCTGATCGGACTGATCGAGAGCCGAGATATTACTGTAAAAACGACAACTTGAAAAAAAGAAAAGGAGAGTATATTTCAGCTACATATATATATATCGTATATTTATATGAGTATTTGTCAATAAACAAAATTTTTCTACTCTTCATACGTTATACAAATATATGCCTAAAATTTTCACTCTTGCACATTCATTCAGTTCGTCAGAAAATATTATCAAAAACAAGCACGATTTTTCAGCAATCTGACTCTCCAGTCCCCTTCTTCAGCGCAGCTGAAGAAGCGAGAAAGAGAATGCGGGGAAAAATGAGCGAAAGTTCACAAACGCACGTTCAAACGCACAAACAAACGCCGTCCGTTCGACAGCGAATCGCAGCGGAGCACTTTGATACGCATTTCTGAGGGACGAGCCGAGCGCTAGAAAGTAGCTGCGATTGAAGTATCGTGGAAAAATCAGTCGAACGATAACGCGAACGATTTTTCCAGATTCCCCTATTCCCCTAGTTCCCCCTCCCGGCTACTCGAAATCGATACCGATCGATTCCGTGGAAAATGTTCGCGCACTGTACTTTATATACGAGCGAGTTTGACGAGTCCGACGTGACCAACGTCACACACTAAATCCAGGCACATCCCGCGCGAGTTGAAGGAACCTTCCTGAGAGATCGATGTCGGTCGGACACACTTTCACGGAGTGGGAGAAACCGGTCCGCGTTTATTGTTTACCGTTTCGGCCGTCATTACTGAATGAGAGAGCTTCGCGCTCGCCATTATCGGCCGCAAAAACGCACGCAGAGCGCATTGCCGCCGCCGCCGCCGCGGTGTCTCTCAGTCCGTAACGCTAACGCTACACGAGAGGAGGCAAGGAAAAAAGACCTAAAAAACGAAGGAAGAAGTCGAGCACAACGGTTGCGCGAATGTCCCACAACAGCTCGAGTCAGCGCTGAATGATCGTCGTTTGCGATCGAGTCTGCGGCTTCGAATTCAAATTCGCTTCTTTGTAACTTACAAACGTGATCGGGAAAACGGCGGGAGACAGTGGCTCCTCCACGGGTCGATAGACCATCATCGCCGTGCGCGTATGCCGGGATCCATCGTGGGAGGAGAGATCCCCGATGTCTTTCTCGCAGCCGTTGCTCTGCGTCTTGTCGCGGCTCTTGAAGACGCGCCGCGCCGAATTGCGGCGCGCCTCCGCGAATGCAATTCCGCGCAACAGCATCTCGTGCGTGCGTGCGCGCGCGCGTGCGACCACACAATGTTAACAAAGGTAAATTAATTACACGCTTATCACTCTCGGCAAATAAAGAAGAAGACGCGGTCTGTGTCAGCTTTCGGAGATAAAGCCGAGTACTGGTCGGCGCGCGCGGGACTCCCAATTGTGCCGCTGATGTAATTCGGACATGAAGACGCGCGTCGCGCGGCACCGCAACATGCGGACGATCCGTACGATGAGAACGCGATGCTCCGCGGCGCGGCTTCTTGAGGAGCGACGAGCGACGGACGAGCGAGGAAAGTGAGAGACCGAAAGAGCGCTGACGGAGAACACGGTGGCGATTTCGATCCTTTGCGCGGATAACGCGCGATAAGTTCTGCAGGATGTGCGCCGACTCGATATGTAAAAGTGAAATGAGCATGTCTTATCTGTGGACGCTCGCCGATAACGCGCGGTACAATCTTGAATAAAAACATTTCGTCGAAATGCGGGCTTCGTGGGCAAAGCGAGAACGCAGAGCCGAGGGAGGGAGAAAGAGAGGAAAAGTGAAGGAACATTTGCAACTCGGAAGATTAGGCCCCGCGGTTCCGAGTATGTGGAATGAAAGATCGCGGAATTCTCGCTCGAGAGAATATCTGTTCACTGATTGGATCGACATGATGCCGGGCTGGCCGAGTTGGGACTCGAGAGATATCTCGTATGCGTATCGATCGCGAAATTTATATAAAAATTACAACAGCATGACGCGCGCGCGCGCGCGGTGACGTAGCGTCGTCCGTTTCCATTAATCAAAGATGATAACTCGATAATTTTGTATCGGTCGGTACCGGCTTGGTTATGAGCTTTTTCTCGTTCACCGATCTCGTTTATCGATCTGAAACGCTAGATCACGTATTTAGTTTTTCTGCTGTATTCTTGTGACTAATTAATTACGCAACATTGTAATTGCAGCTTGAGCGACTCTCTGCATATCGGCTAATCATATTGCATATTGATAAGATTCACACGTGTTTTCTCAGATCTGGAAACAGGTTTGCACATACGTTTTCGATTTGTACGTGTGCAAATACGTTTCATTTGCCATTATTTTCAATTATATGCGAGATACGCTTTATTGAGATGTAACTTTCGTCCTTAGGGTCATCTCTGCACGAACCCTAACACTTTACACTTGCCGCGAGCAAATTCATTTGCTTGCACAGCACAGCAGTATTAAATATTTCTTCCCCCGATAATGTAGGTAAAGAGCTGACGCAAGAAGCTGACGTCATTAATACAAAGCCGGCAATTAAGTTAAAAACAAAATGAACATTCGCTCTGCCACATGCGAGCTACAAGGCGTTTCTTCGTTTGTCGTATTCATCTTTATCGATCCGCTGTGTCAGTCTCACCGCGGATAAATCATGATTTACTCGAAATTCAGAGTAAACGCGCGGACAATTGAATCAATATATAATCGAGTCGAACAAAACACGACGGAATAAAATTACATCATTACGAATGCTGGTTCCGCGCGCTTTAATATATTCGATATAGATGTCTTGTCACGTGTGAGAGATGTTTTATGTTTCCTCGCTAAGATAAAATATATTTTACGCTGTTTAGAATTAATTGCAGCTGCAAACGTGTCGAAGCTATCGGATAAAAAAGTGACCTGGCTTAACCTGAGCGCCGAGGAACAAGTGGCTTAAGGCCGTCCACATCTATTTGAGAATCGTCATCGGAGCGTTTTCTGCACGGACTGTACATCGCCAAGTCCGTCTCCTACCAAGATTAAGGTAATGCTCGGCTGATATGATACAATAGTTATGTAGTCTTTTCAGTGCTCTATGGTGCTTCTGCCGGATGGTCGCGACATTCGCGAAGCCTCAGAATAATATTTGGAGCCGCGAAAAGGTACGACGTTACATATATTCCGTATTGCTTGACACGCCTACGCTTAATCCATCTGCGCTTACGTGAATTACGTTATGTTTCTGCCTCTTCTACGAAGCCACACGGAAGTGGGAAAACTCGTGTCTTTGGAGAAGTCTTAGGGATCTGTTTTTTTTTTTCTTCAAAGAACTTCGGAAACATTTTGTGCACACTAGTGCAACAAGAGTGAGAGAAAATATATCTGTTTCACTGTAACTTATTGCATTAGTTCAAAAATTCTTCGGAAAAAAGAAAATAAAAAACAGACCTAAAGTGTCACGGATAAAAAGTAGTTTGAACGAAAAGGTTCGTAGTTTTGACACCAGTTTGTTCACGCACAAAGTGATTTTGTGTATTAGTGTTATACACACAGCAAGGGCTTCAGCAAACTTCAACATATGACAAGCTGAGGAGGTAGAGATTTCTTTTAAGATAATGATTTTAATCATGTGCACTCACCGTAGCGTAGTATATAGTTTTTGGTTTCCACTATGGGAAACCACCACGATCACCAATGGAAGATATTCGGCATGAACTGAAATCACAAAAAGGCACACGATTAGTGTCATAGAAATTTCACCCAAAACGTTGTTCTCACTTCTAAGATACTTAGTAAAGTCAAATTATACTTGGTTGTATACTGTTAGAGACATTGTTTTAATGTTGGCAAGTTGTGTAATTCCTATAGTGATCACACCCATCTCTTTTCCCTACTAATTGTACCAAGTATGTCACTTCATAAATATGTCACTCATCTCATCTGTCACACTGTGTCCTGATTTCTGTGTGCGACACAGGAGCCTGTATTTGGTTCAGACACTGCGTGAATTCTGTAAGACACAAACATTGTGACAATACGCCTTGCTGCAGGTAACAATTTTCACAGTGACTGTGACGATGTTACATAAATCACACTACATAGGAACTACACACCGTCATTAAACAACATCTACAATATAGAAATCCTGTAAAAAGATAAAGCAAAGTGCAAGGTAGTTGGATGGAGAAAAAGTGAAGTGGACGGCGGAAGGAGGGGGTACAGAATGGAGTCTGTGCATGTGTGTGTGTATGGCAGTACAGTGGAGAATGTTCATCTTTTAGGTTAAGAATATTATATCTTCGAAAGATATACCCGGGGCAAAGTACAAGGTGCGCGTGATTACACCAGATGCTTTAACCCAGTACGGTACACCTGTCCGCCCCCTCCCTTCGTAAACTACAGATGGGCGCGTGATAAAGCCCGAGAGCGATTCGGGCGGACGGCAGGAGGATTAGATCAGCTGTTGACGTCGCGAATCGGCGACGCGTGTCATCGAACGGTACGCGTCGTGCAGGAGACTCGTGGACACGGTTCGAGACGTCCTCGTCGGTGTGTAATCGAGCACGGTCCGCTTCTTTAACGTATCGATTGAATATTCCCGCAGTAACCTTAAGCGCGCGCGACAGAGAGAGAGAGAGAGAGAGAGAGAAAGAGAGACCGACCAGGCGGTGGAATTAGGTTAAAGAACAGCGTCGCGCGAGGACAAGGCGGAGACGACGATGTCGTCGTCGTCGTCGTTTCGATCGCTTACCGTGCGTCGATGCCTGGCGCACATCCTCGCACGAGAAGCACCGTGGGACGCGCGTCGTCGACGATGCCACCGTGTGCACGTCACATCACTGATATTCCCCGTCGACGAGACCGAGACCGACACGATCCCGCGCGCATGTAGCACTCCGTGTATTCGGCTGGAAGGACCCGAACAACGCGAAACGAGTCACGAGTAGCGCCGAGAGACGAGCAGAAAGAGAGAACGAGAGCGAACCGTCGAGAAGACGCGTACCGCGTCTCACGCGACGACAGAGAGAGAAAGAGAGAGAGAGTCGAGACGTGTTAAATATAGGATAAAATTCTACCGTGCTTGCAAAATCCATGAGCGTCTCGCGGGATGCGCACACGTCCAGCTGCTCCTATCATGCCGGGCATAAACTTTTCGCCGTGATCTTAGCGACATACGAGCGGCCCTTGGCTTGGCGCGCGACTTTGGCTAACTCCACGTCAATCGGCTCGCGCGATCGAGAGAGATAGAGAGAGAGAGAGAGAGAGAAGGAGAGAGGGAGAGGAAGATAGGGAAAGAAGAGAGAGAGAGAGAGAGAAAGAGAGAGAACACATGGGCCCCGCGTTCTCCTGCGAAACTTTCGCGATGAATTATTATGACAGCACGATCCTCTCGTTCATTCGTAATTATTGGGATAAGAACACTCGGCTGCATATCGGCTGCAACGTTTTGCTCGGTATCTCGTTCTATTCTCATGTTATTCCGTCACGGTATATTACGAGCACGTCGCGCTTATTACTCATCGTTTCAGAGAATGGAGATTATACATGATTTGCTTAACAGGGAAATATATGTATAGAATACGATATCGTTAAATGTTAACGGCAAGATTTATGAAAAAAGATATTTTGAAAAAAGACCGGAATAATTAAAATTTATTAGCTCGATCGAATGTCTCTAGTGCGACTGAACGCGTTATAATCATCTTCTAATGAACTCTCTCAATTTTTTTTTTCAACAATTTTTTCAACAAATGTCAGGTTTGTTAAATTAAATGCTTATATTCTTCAATATTCATCGATACATATTTTTAATGGACGATTTTACTTTGGGAGTCACGCCCTTGTTAATGAAAAACAGAGAGAGAGAGAGAGAGAAAGAAAGAGAGAAAAATATTCCAAGTCTGTCATTTGCTCAATATTGATAATGCATCTTCTAACATCTTCTCGCCTTCTAATTGTCTAGTTAAGTGTTTCATTGATATGCGACACATGTTACGCGGATTATTACACAGTTTGATGACGAGTATTTTTGTTCTTTTGTTTCTGCGTCGAAGCGCGGCCATATTTTACATTGCACGCATACCACGAAGGGGTATTTGTAATTACGCAACACGCATGCACATGTGCACTTGCAGGATCGAAGCATTGTTGCATGTAGCTTATTATTTCCGAAAATTCGATACCCGTTTCGTCCGCCGTCAGTTTCAATAGTCGGCGCGAGAGCGCGCGCTGTCGATAGTCGATGCGCCATAAATGCGAACTTGGACGAATGGTCGCCTCGCCTAGGGACAATTCGTTCGAAATTCGATGCAATTTGCCGCCTGCGAATTTGAAACGGGAATCTCAAAGCTGGTAATTTGAGATCTTGCTATAACCTCCACGGGTTCGATTTACGGCCCGCAAGCGTCAAAAGATGCGTTTCGCGCTGAATTTCGTTGCTAGAAATTAGCATACAGATATTCTTCACGCATTAATAATGTCAAAAGTTACTGTTCGATCGAAATCACACCTATAGCTAGTCTCGCGATTTTAAACGAAATAAACGTAGAGATTGCTTTCGAAAGTATTTCGAAAGCATTGTAGAATGAATTGACTCGTGCTCTCGCTGCTAAATAACGATCATTGCGATCATTTTGGACAAAATAAAAATCATGTTGCATGGATGGACACTACACGTTTGGTCTGTGGATATTCCGCATTTTTCTACGATACAATAGTAGTGCAAATAAATTGTCCAATTGTTCGTCGACAAATAAAACATGATGTCGATCGAACTCTAAACTGAGAACCTTCACGTGTACGAGCGAAAAGCCATTCTACAAGTAAGAACGTTGTCCGATGCGAATGCTTGCTTATCGGGACGATAATCGGCGGGATGATACTCGTCCGCGTATCAAATCGCGCCGCTTTGTCACTTTTCGCGCCGGCGTTACGACGCAACACGGCGGCGCGGCCGCAGTACGCTCGCCTAGAGAATTTTTCAGCCCGACGACTGGCAACCTGGATATCGATTGTCATTATTTATATCGTACGTTTCCTCTTCAGTCATCGATTCACTTTTTACATTTTACATTTTTACAGTAATGAGAGAGTTAAGTTTTTCCCACGGGCGTATGGTACTCTAAGTTAGCCCCCACATGTGTGATCATAGGTGTTGTTGAAGGGAGTCGAGTGTGTGAAGAGAATGACGGATAGCCAGCAGCAGTTTTGCTTGCGGTGGAATAACTTTCAGGCGAACATCACGAGCCAGTTCGAGGCGCTGCGAGATGACGAGGACTTCGTCGACGTTACCTTCGCGTGCGACGGCAGGCGGCTCCAGGCGCACAAGGTCGTCCTTTCAGCGTGCAGCCCTTACTTCAAGGAGTTGTTCAAGGTTAGAAAACCATTTTCTTCCCGCTCCCCACCTTAGATTTATCCCTCTTTGCCCCGCTCACCTACACCCCTCTCCTCGTCCCGCACGCCTACCCCGTCCTTCCTCCCCCTTTCGTCCTCCGGCACGGCGGCAGTCGCTTTCCCCCCCTCTCTCTCTCTCTCTCTCTCTTCTGTCCCCTCGACCATCCATGTCACCTCTTCACCTCGCTGCCGCTTGACACCATCACCCTTCGCCCCGCGATATGTGCGTTGCGTGTGTTTGCTGCGTGTGTGAACGCACGTGAACATGCATTTCCTTCGTCTCATCTCGCGATGAATAATTCCAAAATTACACAATACCTATTTACGTGACGGCCTCTCTTACGGCGTCTTATCTTTTGGGTCGCGCGTTATAGCTTATTTCAAAGCGAGACATAATCGTGCACGCGCAGTTACGTCACGATTTGCATGATTTTTCGCCCTCCGCCCGCGCGCCGGTCGCCGCAGCCGCCGCCGCTTTTTTTGCGACAGCGCCGAACAAATTCGTAATTGCTGCCCAGTAATTAACGCGCCCACGAGAGGGGGTCGATAAATGAACAGGAGCTCGTTACGTACGTTTGTTTAATTGGTTGCGCTCGCGCTGCGGAAATGAAATTATGCAGTAATAAGTTGATGCCCGGGCTTCTATGTATTTATCTACTCTTTTTTCTTGTTTTTTTTTTAAGATATACATGCGAAAGTATATGTTTATTTAAATAATACTTATTACTGTAAGTCTACTGTCTTTAACCAAGGAAACAGTTGTAACATGGTTTAAAAATATGCGAAAATATAGATGATATGAGAAATATGCAATACAATGTTATGTCTACATAATAATGTAGCAGCTGATTTTTTTTAAATTTTGTTAGATCATATTGTAGATATTGTCGTTTGGGAAAATTAGACTGCTCTAGAAATAAATAAGATTGATACATTAAATCTTGCATATAACATGATAAACATAATTATAACATGTAATAAGCATTTTTGAATAAAAATTAATATTTTGGGAATATTTTGCAATTTCTTTTATCGATTTTGTGAATTTTCTTTCTTTCTCATTCTTCTATAATAAATAAGACTATACAATGATATTATGATGGCAACATACAACATTAATAACCATATGAAATTTATTCTTTGCAGACCAATCCTTGCAAGCACCCGATAATTTTTATGCGGGATGTAGAGTTCGAACATCTACAATCGCTGTTGGAATTTATGTACGCCGGAGAGGTAAATATCTCGCAAGCCGAATTACCTACATTTCTGCGTACCGCTGAATCTCTTCAAATTCGTGGCCTCACCGACTCTCAAAATAATCAGCACAACAACGAAAAGGTGAGTCTGACAGTTAGTTTGCCTCTGTGTGACATTCGCTTTTCTCTCAGGGCATAATGTCGCAATATATAATTCTGAATGATTTATAGCATTTGAAGACAAACAACATCCACGCATCGAATGGCCGTGGTCTGATCTCGCCAAGCTTTGACGACGAACGCAGTAAAACTCCACCACCTTCGAGCCCTCCACCACTGAAAAGGCTGTGTAAAAAAAGTGATTCACCTCCAATTTCTAGTCCAGCACCCACTGTGCCGCCTTGTGCTACCAGTACACCTCGCTCGCGCCCACTTATCGAGCCTCAAGTTCAGCTTGATTGTTACAAAGATCTCGATGTTGTTGAGGTATATAATCTTGTAACATTATGTATACATATTCGAATATCAAATATATATAATGGTGCAAGCAAACTTTTATCCATATTTGCATATTTTATATATCATGCATATTGTTGTGATACTCATTTTCAACTTGTGCTTCATACTTTCAGCCAAAAATAGAATTACCCGAATATGGCAGTGACGATGATTGCTCACCTAAACAGGACGTTAATACATTGCCCAGTGGATTTCTCAGCCTGGATGGTGGTATGGAAGTGTTACCATCTTACCCACCATCTTATCAAGGTAATTGCCTTTTACTGAAAATTTACTGAAAATTAATCAATATTTTCTAATACAGTATTTTAATATCTTTATATATCTTTCTAACATATGTTTCTCTCTCTCTCTCTCTCTCTCTCTCTCTCTCTCTCTCTCTCTCAACTTTTCTCTTGTTTATATTCTTTTCTTATAATGGATCTTATAAAGACTGGATTATATAGACTAGATGGGACCTAAATGTATGTTTTCATTTTAGGAAGCAACGTGGAAGGAGGAATGCCAGGTCCATCGCACGGGAGTACAGAGTTGAATCAGGAGCAGCAAGGTGAGTCAGAGTTTACTATTTGTTGGTAGTGCGAGCACCATTACAAACAGCAACAACCTAGCCATTACATCACAAATATCAAATGTGAGTAGAAACAAGGAAGCAGAAAGGAATCTTGATGGTTTGAAATGGTAAGCTCGTGTGTAGCTCGGTAGGTCTTGGTAGGCGGTAGGAGACATTTGACACTCGGAGGCTGTAATAGGCCTGAGTCCACAGAGTGCAGTTTGCAGTTAAGCAGCTGTGTTGTATGAACGTTACCGAAATAGCCCGGAAACTCGAATCGTTAACAACCAAGTCCTGCGTGTACATATTCGAAAGAGAAAGAAACCCCATCCCAATATGCTTTATAATCTTTTGTTTTCCTGCTTCACGCGTATATTAATGCATTATATATATATATATATATATATATATACATATATATATATATACACATACATACATACACTAGACTGTCTTGAAAAAAGTTTAATCGACAAAGAGTAATTTTGCTTATTAAAAAGATAACGCTCGAAAGATGATCTTAATGAAGACTGTCTTACAATCATTTGCTTTTTCTCGTTTACTAATTGTAAAGGCCATATTTATATGTAATAATTTTTCAAATTGGCTTGTACATATCGCTTTGAATCAAGACCATATGAGATATAAAACAACGTGATAGAAATTGTGTATTTTTTATACACAATATAAAATTGCATTAAACATGTAGATGTGTCCACGAATAAGTAGCTGGAAATGCAAGTGTTGAACGAAATAACTTTAGTTGGTATTTCCCATTTTGGCCGAAGAATAAGAGATATTTGTTTCTTGATAAAAATCTAAATGTTGTGTTTCACACACACACACACACACACACACACACACACACACACACACTCTCACACACATATTGTGTAACACTCAAAAGCATTTCAAAATTAGTGAAAACAAGACAATGTACTAGCCATGCCAGCACGTGTCATAATAATAATGAATCAGTGTCTACATGTGTTTGTAACAACATTTCTAATCGTCTTGCCTAGAGATGTCACATCTCTGCGTGATAGAACGACATTGAAATTAAAGTTATGCAATAAGCATACGAACAAGAGTTTCACTAATTACTGGTTCTCATATACTCATCGATTCATGCTTACCATTGTTTTCAAACTATATGTTTTTTCTTACTGCATTACCATTGTTTTGTCTGCCAAACATATCAGACTCATCGCATCCTTGCAAGTAATACTCTTGCGGGGGCCCTTTTTGTACTGTACCATGCAGGCAGCAAAATTGGGTAGCGCTAAATAGGGTTGTTCGCTGGTTGTTGCTGTCCTGTGGTGGGTGGTATCATTTTGATATTATACGTGGTGTGACAAGGCGTGGTGCTATGCTGTGGTAACGTGCAATGCTGTGGGCTGCTACCGGTTAGAGCAAGTTGTGTGTGTGTTGCAGCTGACCTGCGTAAACTGCACTCGCTGGACCCACGCCCCTGTCCTGTGTGCAACCGCATGTACAGTAACTTGTCCAACCTGCGGCAGCACATGCGCCTCATCCACAACCCTCAGAGTGTCACTTGCCCTCTATGTAACAAGCCATTCAAGACCAAGCTGTACCTGAAGCGTCACCTGGTCAGTTTCCACGAACTCAGTGTGGCAGACAGGCAACGTCAGGAAGAGATCTACCAGCATCAAGTTAAGGTTCAGGTCCAGGGACAGGGACAGACGCAGGTTCAGGGAGGAGCTCAGGCTCAAACTCAAACACAAGTTCAGGCTCAAACACAAGCTCAGATCCAAGCTCAGACTCAGGTGGAGAATAAGGTGCTTTTAGCGGCTCCTGCCCCACCTGTTCGGGTCACCACCGCCGAGGAAGGTGGGGGGAGCACCGTGGAACCAAAGCTCAGATCGTATCAGGCACAAGCTGGCGATAATGCTTATTCGGTAGAGGTGGCGCAAATTGGTGATTCGAAGCACTTTGCTAGTGGGATGTTGCAATTCGATGCTCCGTATCACTAATATACAGGATTTATTTATTTTTTAATCTATCGCCCAGTATCATTTTGTGATATAGTATCGAATCAAGTTTATCTTTATTGTTTAGTGAACTTGTGATTCAATAGGAAACGTATCTTCGTAGTTGTCCGACGACGAGTAGGTAGGAATAACGTTACGACACAAGGCTGATTCCGTATTTAATAATCAGATCCTGTGCAAGGGAAGAAAAATGGGGGGGGGGGCAGCACGGATGTATAATTTATGATTTTAAATCGTTTGAACGTGTGTACGCAATTCTCTCGTCACACGATACCAAGTGTCACACGAGTGGAGAACAAGAAGTCAGAAATCCGATTTACGGTCGCGCACTTCATTGTTTTCGTCCGTAACAAGACGCCTATACAGATCATTCGAATGATCATTCATTCATGATGATCGACAGTGTATATAGGTTTGGGAGACTAGTTTACGTATAAAGTCCCGTGCCTATTCATCGCAAAGATGAACGCTGATGAGGGAGAGAAACGACTAAAATGCCGATGGTGGAGCAGCCATCCCACCTCGTACTGATAATTCTGCAGCCGGATACTTGTTGTTTTATTTAATGCTATACAGTGTTATACAGACTACAGATATTTACAACAATATTATATTCTTACAGAGGATTATATTTACTTTATTATTGCAACGCAATGTGCAATGACATAGCTCGTACATGATATATTTTTCACATGCATACATTGCAATATACAGCCAATTGACAGCTCAACAGAGTAATAATATTTATTATTAACAGTTATCAACAAACCGTGATCGCAATAATGCAGCAGATTGAATTTAACAATATATAATAAGAAGGCAGTGTCTCTGCTGGTTTCCTATCTCTCTCAGCATGCCTTTAGCGGAATTTATCTCTTCGAGTATTCTATCTCTTTCAGTATATTCTGCAGGGATAGTATCTGAACATATATATATATATATATATATATACATGTATATATACTTATTTCGTTGCTTCTAAGGAAATATTTGTAGATTTCGCGTACGAAGCGCCAAGTTTAAATGATACATTTATTTTATAATTTGCGTTTACATATAATTATTGTATATCTTGCGTTTAGAAATTATATCATAATTTATGTATTGTTATATTCAAACGGTATTTAAGGATATATATTTAGCTTTTAATTTTTTTTTAATCTTTTCGATGTCATATACTCATTTTTGTGATTTTTACTACGTTTGGTTATTTTTCTGGGGAGTTCTTTGGAAATATGTCTTAGCTAAGCTTGAAAGTGAGCGTTGGTGAGCTTTTGGTATACATTTATTATCTTCGCAACACATTGGTTCTTTTTAATATTAGTTCTTTTATTAGTTTGCGTAAGCCGATTTCGACAATGATTAGCTCCTACCATAGCCAGCTTTTTGTTATCTATAAACACGCGTGTTACGTTTTAACTTCCTGTAAAAGGAGTAAACCAGCACAGATATCTGCCACACAATTCCATAGCCATAGTACCACACAGTACAACTCAGGATCTTTTATATTATATTTTACAGATGACAATAGTTCCATAAGTACGATTTATAATAGCGATTCTAGGAAATGGGGCACAGGGTATGTTCCCTAGAATCGTAACTTTTTAAGTCGTACCATTCATATGACAGGCTCCTTACCTCACATACAATCAAATTACTAAACAGATGCAGCTATATATTATTATAATATATTTACATACAACAATTTACAATAGTACTGGGAAGTTGCAACGACTGCGACTAAAACACAGATTGCCGATATTATACAAACGGTTTTTATTATCTGTTATTACATTGGTAAGTGATTGCAATGTTTTTTTACGAGTTAAATGTACTACGAATGTACATTCGAGATTTTCGTTTACGATATGAATGGATGCCCAGCATAACTAACAATTAGTACCGAAATAAGATTAGATTATAAATGTTGCATATCATATTATAATATTGTTATACATTTGCCAAGCAGTGTTACATTCATCAACTCTCAGGCCTTGGATCATACACGGGTTTCATTTCCTCCCTGGTCGATATCGAGAGACTATATCTCATGTAAAATGCACTTTTCTTTTCATATGTATATATAATACCATGTACATGTTCTCTCAGTTGAAGATCCAGCTATTTCTGTAGTAACAGTGGGGTAGCTCTCGTGCAATGAGAAACGCAGCAAACGTTTCTCCCACATTATTGCATGGGGGGTTTTTTTTTTTTTTTTTTCTTTTCTTTTTTTCATTTCTCACGTTCGTTCATATTAATAATAGATGAGAATACAGACACACGCACACAATTATCGAGATATTATTTATAAGAGCCGCCGCACTTCCGGCGCTTGCTTTGCATTATCGTTTCGTTATTATTACTCGATCCTTCGCCTGAGATCCATATACTATGTATATCAGAGTGATGTGTTACAGAATGTCACATAATAGTAAGCATCATTTGACAGACCGGACTTCGCTGGGCATTAAAACCGGTTACCTAGCTAATATCACAATACAATTCCCACACACTCACTGTTATAATTGCGATTATATTGCGAACTCAGATGGTGTGCGAACATTCCGTAATCCGCATCACGGAGACAGTAGATAACAAAACCAAAACAAAACATAACATGACAAAAACCAAAATGCAAGGCAAAAACGAACGGCAAAAATGACGGTTTCGGCGATCGTGACATGATGCACACTTACAGCCAGCCAATAGGAAAAAATGCAAAACTCGCGAAGAACCCCGCATAGTATTTTTGGGTCACTAACACACAATACAGTTTACCGTATATTAAATGAAAAGGGATATCGCGACGCGGCGCGCATCTCGCGCCGTGAGGTGTGTCCCTTTGTGATGAGATACAAGAACAGAGTACTTGCCACTTTTCCAAGAAAAAGAATAAAAAAAAGTAACTCGATGAGTAGGTACAGAAAGCTCACTGGAGAAGTATCTTTTGTCTGCGATAATAAGTTTTAACTTTGTCCTACTGCGGTTTTTAGCACATTTGTATCATGCGTTGTTATCAACTATTATTATTGCTATTACGATAACTACTACCGCTATTATTACTACTACCGATACTATTACTACTACTACCACTACTACTACCACTACTACTACCTACCATTACTACTATTATTACTACTACTATTACTACTACTACTACTACTACTACTACTACTACTACTACTACTACTACTACTACTACTACTACTACTACTCTCCTAATACAATTGCTATCATTACCGTCGTTCATTTAAAAGCTTTGGACGCATCTGTATACGTCTGTTGTCCCGAGGGATGCTTTTACGTTCGAAAGGATCGAGAGAGACGCGGTAGTGTCTCGCGCCTTATAGCACAAAAACCGTGACGGATGCTATCGCGTGTCTTTCCCGCGGGCGAGATCATACTACTTTGAGAGAGGAAGGGAGCGAGAGAAGGGGAGAAAAAGATACGTATTTCGGTTCTCAGCATCGCGCGCCCCGATACGCGCGTTGCTCCTTTTCGATCGTAAGAAACCAATATCTCTTAGCGCATTTAATTATGTGTTGTATATATGTACATTATTATGCAATTTGTATGCGCGTCACAAAAAAAAAAGAAAGATAACTCGTGTATTCGATCGCTAGTTATTCCTAATAGACGTAGCTGTAGGCGGTGTTACTTTGATTCGAAATAATATACGGTTTCTCTTTTGAGCGACGGATATCCCCTTGTGCGTCGCGAGGCATAGCTTCGCAGCTCCGATTTAATTTTCACACTATTGTTTACCCCCGGTAATTCCAAACGCGGCGAAATTGTAGTCTAGTCATTGAAAACGACGTCTTGATGAGTTTGTTCGCTTCTCTTACGCTGTGTCGCGCATTCATTGTCGCACTATTGTTCGGATTAGTCGGACGAAGGAAACACGCGTTGTCAGTATTAATTTTAGAATTTACTAACTGTTATTACGAAGATTACGAGTATTAAAGCAGCTTCTCTTTATCCTCTGTTTTGTAAAAGTATTATTTTTTGGAAATATTTTTAATCTACTCTATCGCTCCTAAGGTTACAATTTTTTTTACTTCCATGTATATATTTTTTCGGTTAGCTCTCATACACTCTTATTCTTTAACGTGACAAACACCCGATGCGACGAACGCAGGAGTGTAATCGTATTAACTCATTATAGGATAACCGTCGATCTGCGGCCACATTTTGTTCAGAATATTTACTATAATATAATATTTCAGTACTTAATACTTTTAATCATCATTTTGTCATCATGTTATCACTATTATTTTTCTATGACTGAAAATATCATAAGTCTTTACAATGGATTTTTAACTTTATGTTGATATACGAGCTTAGTGCGAATTATAGGCAGCCCATTTTTCAGAAATAGCGATATTATATTATGCATCGTATAAAGCATATAAAATTATTTATCTATATTGAGAAGACGTTAGAGGATGAAGGCATTGTGACGAGAATTGGAAATATCAACGCTACGAAGGCAAATAAGAAGCATCGTGATGTCTCTTCGTTCGAACGAGAAACCGCATTCTCTTAACGCAATATATTCTGAATAATTTTCTCTTCTTTTCGTGTAAATTTTGTTCCCGATCGACTTTTGTCGATCTCCCTTACGAGTGTACTTTTTCAAAAGTTATATAAGCTTAAGATAGAGCTAGATTTTAGTATGTGCGCGAGAGGTAAAAGTGCGAAATTTTCGATGTAAATAGCGGCAACTTTTCCAATACGATCGTATCGAGGATACAAATATTTCGCTTCTGAAGTAGTCACACGCTAATACTTAAGTACGATATTTATTCGAATCATGGCGTATCTGAAGTAAGTTATCCTCTAAGTAAACGGGAAGGTCAATAGCGTCTCGTGCTGTCACACGTATAATTATATATAACGGCAATCGCATTACAAAAGTATACATACGACTGATTTTCGACGAGTGCGAGTGTGCGTGCGCGGTATGTACTGTAGAGGTATAAGAGAGATGAGGGAAGAATAAGGAAAGTGAAGTACAGTAGCTTGTACTTGGCGGAATTTCTGAGCAGATAATTGATGAGAAAATTCGTGTCCCGGTTTGAATGTCTCCTCGCCGCGTGTGAAAAAAAAGGAAAAAGAAAACGAAAGATAACGCTTGTGCGAGGGACAACCTATCGGAATTCCTGATAGAAACTCCAAGGTCGTATCTATGAGGAGAGCTGATTCCGCAGCAATAGTTGGAGACTTTTGTTGTTTAATATATATATTTATATATATATATATATATATAGAGTTTTTCGAAATATAACAAGCGAAAATCTTTCGATATGAAATTTCGCTCGTTAGATACTTTGTCTTTTCTTCTTTCTTTTAACATTTAGATAGATTTTGATAAATTCAACGGTCGAGAGAAAATGTGCCCTTGTCAGTTTCTATCAGGACACATGCTAAGTGTAGCATTTTGTAGTCACAAAAGCGATAGGATAAAGAAAAAATCGATAAAGTGCTCTTTTTAGACTGAGTTACGGGCTCTACGAAAGTGACTTGTTATTGGCTTAATGTAAACGCGACGGATATCGACGGAGGAAGAATGCAAATTCTCTAATTTACGCTTCGAGGTGTAAATCTTTCCTTTCTTCGACAAGCAATTATCTGGACAGAATGAGCTCTGCATCAAAAAAAGAAAAGAAAAAAAAGAACGCGAATTTATAATGCGACATTTATCGAGAAATGTATATTTTATTTTCAGTTAGTGTGTCTCTTCGTAATATTTTCCCCCCTTGAGATTTGATACGCCACGATACTTTATTTATTATAAAACTATGCGGTATTGTGTTATATTTAACTGACTAGCAGTCGGTGATGGGCTCAAGATGATTTGTCAGTATCTGGATACATGTGCGGACACTACCTACCAGATTTA